TAACATCTCGTAGGACAGCGTTTTTGCTGTTTGAGGGAAATTGCCATGGCTTTTTTTTTTTTTTTGAGAAGATTGCATTTGCCAGCCTGAAACTGTCACAGCCGGTGTGTTTAACACCTGGGAGGAGGAGGATGATGAGAGGACACTGGACCGCAGAGAGGAAGAGCGGGGGCTGACCGGGGCCGGCTGTCACAGAGGTGATGTTTGGGGCTCCCGTGGCTGCATCTCCAGCTGTGACCTCAGGGGTGCCTCTCCGCCAGGCACTCTGCTGGTGTGGTTTCCACTTGTGTCCACAGCTCCAGGGAGCTGGCTGGCGCCCCTAAAGAAGAACAGGGTTCTGCAGACAGTCTGCTGCTCTGCTCGACTCCGGGGGCACAGAGACCGAAGGCAGCCGGACTGGCCATTCGGGCCCCCTTACTGCTCTCATCAGGATGGGGAACCAGCCTGACGCCTCCTCCAGGTTCCGGATTCTTCCAGGTTCACCTCTCACTTCTGGTTTTCACCCTCCGTGATCAACCTTTCTGCCATTCCCCCTCGTTAGAGCCCATGCCGTTCCTTGTTAACGCCTGCCTTTTAAAGCTACCGGTTTTGATTCTTCTCCCTGTACTGTGATGTTTTTAAATTGCATATGTTGATGTTCTGACTTATTTTACTTAAAACAAATGTTATGGTTGTTTTCAGGTGCTTTGTTTTTATCACAGTAGTGAAAGCATAAGTATTTTAGTAATATTTCTAAGTGGAAGGTGCTACCCACAGCAGTTGTAGCAATGTTAGTGTGTAGTAATATTAGGAGCACTTTTAAGAGGAAGGTGCCGCACCCCTGCAATGCTGTCATTCGCAAGGTCCCTTTGGGGAGCACTGACAGCTGGGGCACACTGACGGCGGGAGGCGGGGTGAGGCTGCACAAAGCGGTCTGCTGGGCTTCTGCTGAGGTGGCTTTGAATGCTCTGAATTGTTAGCGGCGCGCGTGTAGCAGGTTAAAGGATGTACAGGTGCGGTGTTAGGGCAGGTGTCCTGCCCGGGAGGCGCTGCTTTGGGTCCTGGATTCAGGTGCCGGAACTGTAATTCTCCACTCACTCACTCACTCAGGGGCCTGGCGGTCCGTGCAGCACCGCACAGAGGGGCTGTGCTCATTGGACCCACTGTCTCCAGTCTTCAGTTGAATACGAATGCAGTCTCTGAGCATTACTGGTCCGCACCACTCAGAAATGCACCTCGAACTGAATAAACCCAGAAAAGGTCATGAGCAGGTTCAAGCAACCAAAAAACTCTGTGGGTAGCACTGGTTCCAGGCCCAGTGGGGTCAAGAGCTCAGGATTTCCTTCCCACTCCTGTCTGTGTGTCCCAGCCATTGTCCCCGACCTGGGTCACACCCGCAGGGCGAGCCCCAGCAGCTCCATACTTACGTTCTGTCGCTTGAGCACTTCAAGGGTCATAGCCCCAGCATTGGGGTCACCCTTCCTGGAGGGCTGTCATTGGCCTGACTGGCTCCCGGGCTCACCCCTGGACCAACTGTGGCCAGAGAAGGCCGCACACTCATTGGTCAGACCTGAGTCACATGTTAGGGGTGGCGTTAGCGCTGCACGACGTAAAAACAGTTTTAGCAGTGTGGGTCCCCAGCAGAATTCAGAAGAAAGGGAACTGGATCCCAGACAGGGGACAATAAGTGGCCGTCACTAGAGCTACTGTCCTAGTCACACAGAAAAAAAATTAAAAATCATGAAGAATTCTCCGAAGGTTTCCTTGGGAAAAGATTTTGTGTGTTCTGCATTTGCTATGGCATTTGTGCTTCTTGGCAAGCCTAAAAATAAAATTCAGCATACATTCATCTATTTTTAATGACTTCTCTTATTTGTTTTTTAAAAATCATTCTTAGATAATACATTGGTGTTGTCTATTTCTGTAAGAGATCTGTGGAATAAAGGCTTTGTATTTTTATATTGTCTGTTTGAACAGTGATAAAGTTAGCAATGTCAAGGAAGGTAGAAGCTCAGAGGGTAGCTGTTCAAACAGGGGTATGAGCCCACTGACCCTGGTAACACCATGGTTGGTTTTTCCAGAATTAACTGCTCAGTGTGCATGGCGTCTTTGCCAACCCCAGTTCTATGTTTCTGTGCTTCATCCATCTACTGGCAGTGGCTTAACCCCAGGGCTTCCTGTGGGAAGTCGAGAACAGGCCGGTGCCGTGGGGACATGCTGGGTGGCTCAGCGCTGGCGGTGGAGGGTTGGGCTGCGGTGGCCAGAGTCTTGACTGTGCCCGTGCCTGGGCACCCGCCTGCTTTGCCTGGCCTGTGCTGTGCGACTGGCGGCGCTTGCAGTGGGCTCTGCGGCGCAGGAAAGGCAGGAAGGGGGCTGTGTCCTAAATGGCTTACATAGTAATTGGTCTCTCAGGTAGGAGGACAAAGGACTTTCAAAGTCATGGTTAAGGGAGCTCTCTGCCTTTCGTGTGTGTGTCTATCATTTTTTAGTTAGGTACTGACCACACGTAGTCTTTGCAGCAGTAATGTGTCTGTTTAAAATTTCTGTCCTTGGGTCAGTTGGGGATTTGTGTATTGTAGAAAATCGTTAGTTTCTCTGTGTTTTCACATGCGTTGCCCTGGAGTGGCTTGTGGTATAATTCCTTCAGACTTACACAGGTGGCCCTCGAACAGCCGGGGTGTGTATGTGTGCCCCCCCTGTGTGCAGGCAGTGCCCGGTGCACGCCGGAAGCGGTTTTGGTCTGTGGAGGAGAGTCCATGCACGTGGGGGCCGGCCGTGTGCGTTTCCTGTGCGGGACTCACACATTATGGGCTTGGGTGTCTGTCGGGGCTGGAACCAACTTAAGTTTTGGAGGAGTTAGAAGTTACAGGTGGATTTTCAACTCTTCGTGTTGTTCAAGGAATTATTTTTAAATTATTTTTAGTTAAAATATCTTAATCTCTTCTGTATAAGTGGTCATGCCTGCTTTTTTACATTTAAACTTGAATATTCTTTCTTTATTCTTATTCTTTAATATTCTTATTCTTTTTTTTATTTTCCTTTTTCAGGCTTGGAAAGGGATATATATATACATTTTTAAATGCTTTCTGAAAAAAAACTACCTTTTGGATTTGTCTGTCCTGACTTTCCTCCCCCACTGGTTCCTCCCCATTCCATTCCTTTCAGCTTTCAGCTTTATTCCTTCCTTCTCTCCTGGTTTCTTGTGCAATTTGTTGTTCCTTTCAAATTTCTTCAAGTACTTAGTTCCTGCTTGTATTTCTAGAAACTACACAGTTCAGTAGTTTGGAACTGGGTGTTGGGCAGGGCATGCATGGGTCTTCCGTCTGTAACAGGATACTTACAAATTAATAGTATGCAACTGGAAATGCATATCATGTTACTGCCCCTTGAGAATGCACATAGCTCTCTGCTAACCTGCAGGGCCATCCTTAAGCGTCCAGATGTTCCGGGTGTTCTGTTAGCAGCACCTGCCAGCAGAACTCACGGATCATGTGGGAGTCCGGTGCAGTAAGTCAAACGCCGTTTCAGCAGAGAGACACTAGGTGAGGAGTTGTATTCACATCTCAGTCATCACTTTCTCACTTTCCGGGAAGGGATCTGATAGTGACCCGAACTGCGTGGGACGTCATCACTGTGATGCAGACGCACCTGCGGCCCCTCCCAGCCCCGCCGCTCTGGGTGCAGTAGGTGCCACCTAGTCCTCTCTCCCCTCTCTGAGAGCCAGCGGCAGACTCCGGTCTGTTCTGTGCCCGGGAACTTCTGACCCCGTCCCCGCCCTGTCCGCCACGCCCCAAACTGTCATCCGGTTCCCTCAGTCGCCACGCTGCCCTGGGAACAGCATGTTGTCATCATGCCCGGCCTCGTGTATTTCCAGTGGGGGGAGCAAGCTGCCCCCAGGAGAAACCCCCTGCTCGTCTAGGACACCACCTCACATTCCTCTCAAAGCCTTTGCGGGTCCCCTGGAAAGAGTTCTCACACCGTTCAGCTGGTTGGAATTTTAATATTCTCTAACTGAGCTGCAGTTATTGTTTATGCTTTGATGAAAACTCAGGGAGATCAGCGGTATTACACCCTCATCGTTATTTTCAGAAGGAGCAGAGTTGTTCTTTCATTCTTATGCCAACAAGTAAGATTCCAGGCTCCCATGAGTTGGGGAAATACATAATGGAAAAATATTTTTGTCTCATTAAATATGAACACGTTGAAAGAGTCATTTGCAGTTAAATAGAAGAGTTGACGAGGCCGGGTTTCCACCACCCTCAGAGGCAGACTGTGGTGTCTGAACTCCGCCGTTACTGGGCCCTGCGCACTTGTCGAGGTGGGAGGGGCCCAGCGAGCTGCAGTTGTCCTCGCTCAGACACCACGTTCGCAAGGACCCCTGCTCACTGTGTGGGGACGGACCTCTGTGAGTTTACTGCAGGCGAGCATTCTGGAAACTCGGTTGTTAACACCTGGTATCGACCATTTTGCCGATAGACATTCTGAGTTTAACTGTTCAAGCAATTGCACACCCATTGCATGACTATTGAACTAGTTCAAATGTTGCTTGGCTGCCTCGCTTAAGCCAGGCCACATTAGTAGATAGCGTGACACCGAGATGGAAGGCACATAGTTCCTGGCTCAGTGGAGCGTGGAGTCAGTAGGGGAGGAGACTTCTGGGAAAACCAGAAATTTAGAGTAGGCGTGGACGCAGGGCCGTGGGACACGGGAAGCACGCTGCTCGAGGGCGGGCTGGGGGTGGCAGGCGTGCGTGCTGGGCAGGGCTCTGGGGGGCCACCTGGCCTGTGTGTCGGAACGCCCCCGGCCGAGCACAGCAGTGAGGAGAGTGTTCCTGCAGGAGGAGTGGGGGGAGCAGAGGGAGCAGCAGCGCAGAGACCCAGAACTTCACGATGTTGGGGGAACCAGAAGTGGCAGGAGGAGGGGAGGAGGACAGATCAGAAACCACACATAGAATGCGCTGAACTGGAGCTGTTCCAAATTGTTAACGACTATTTTCTGTTTTGTTTTGTTTTTAAATTCAGGTGAAGGAAGTGCTCACGGCCAGATGTCTTAAGGAATCCTTCTGAAAAGGACAGAGGTGGACAAATCGTTACAACTGAGACGCAAGCAAGCTGGTTTTGGGCGGGCCGCACTCGGAGGATGCTGTTTGCTTTTGGTTAACGAGAGAAAATACAACTCTAGAAGAAGCCTTCATATCCTCACTTAATGTTGTGTTGTGAATAACAATGTAACTGGATTCACATCCGTCTTCCTGCGGAGAGCGGGCTCCTGATAACCTGGGCAGGCATGAGCGACCCGAGGCAGTCGCAGGAGGACAAGCACAAGCTCGGCAGGGCCTCCTCCAAGTTCAAGGACCCTCCCAGAATCATGCAGTCTGACGATTATTTTGCTCGAAAATTCAAAGCCATTAATGGCGGCATGGGACCCGCCACTTCTTTAAATGCCTCCAGTTCCAACGAGGGTGGCGGCCCGGCTAATGGCACCCCAGCCGTGCCCAAGATGGGCGTGAGAGCCAGGGTGTCCGAGTGGCCGCCTAAAAAGGACTGCTCCAAGGAGCTGGCCTGCAAGGGGCTGTGGGAAAGCCGGTCCCAGACCAGCTACGACAGCGTGGCGTCCCTGTTGCAGAACGGCCAGAGCGACGGTCAGCTGGAGGAGCAGCTCGATCTGGACTTCATGGAGGCGAAGTACACGCTGGGAGACCTCTTCGTCCACTCGCCGCAGAGAGGACTTCACCCCATCAGGCAGAGGAGCAACAGCGACGTCACCATCAGCGACATCGACGCCGAAGACGTCCTAGACCAGCACGCGGTGAACCCCAACACCGGGGCTGCCCTGCACCGCGAGTACGGGAGCACGTCCTCCATCGACCGGCAGGGCCTGTCCGGTGAGAACTTCTTCGCGATGCTCAGAGGCTACCGAGTGGAGAGCTACGACCCCAAGGTGATGGCCCCCTTTGGGTTCCCGGAGTTCTTCTCCTGCGACCCCGCCATCTCACCCAGCCTGCACGCAGCGGCGCAGATTTCTCGAGGAGAGTTTGTCCGCATCTCAGGACTGGATTACGTGGACGGCGCCCTCCTCGTGGGCAGAGACCGGGACAAGCCTTTCAAGCGGAGGTTGAAGTCGGAGTCGGTGGAAACGTCCCTTTTCCGCAAGCTGCGGACTGTGAAAAGCGAACACGAGACTTTCAGGTTCACGTCCGATCTGGAAGACGGCCGCCTGGAGCGGGGCGTCCGCCCTTGGAATTGCCAGCGGTGTTTTGCACACTACGACGTCCAGAGCATTTTGTTCAACATCAACGAAGCCATGGCGACGCGGGCTAACGTGGGGAAAAGGAAAAACATGACCACGGGGGCCTCCGCCGCATCCCAGACTCAGATGCCCACGGGCCCGGCGGGCACCTGCGAGTCCCCGCTGGGGAGCAAGGAGGACCTCAACTCCAAAGAGAACCTGGACGCCGACGAGGGCGACGGGAAGAGTAACGACCTCGTCCTGAGCTGCCCTTACTTCAGAAACGAGATAGGCGGGGAAGGGGACAGGAGGATCGCACTGTCCAGGGCCAACTCGTCATCCTTCAGTGCCGGGGAGAGCTGCTCCTTCGAGTCCTCCCTCAGCTCCCACTGCACGAACGCAGGTGTGTCGGTCTTGGAGGTGCCCAGAGAGAACCAGCCGATCCACAGGGAGAAGGTGAAGCGCTACATCATCGAGCACATCGACCTGGGGGCCTACTACTACCGCAAGTTCTTCTACGGGAAAGGTGAGGGGGCCCTGCCTGCGTGCCTGCGTGCCCACGTGCCCATGAGAATTCTCTCGGGCCAGCTGTCAGGGCTGCTTGGTGACGCAGCACCTTCCTCGTCATGTCCAAGGCCAACGTCCTAGGGGCTGGTTCTCTGCGGTGGCCCCTCTGTCACTGGAGACTAACTCTTTCTTTAGAAACCCCCAGTGCCAGCTCCCTGCCTCTGCTGATCTTTCCTTCCTTCCTTCCTTCCTTCCTTCCTTCCTTCCTTCCCTGCCTCCCTCCATTCCTTCCTTCCTTATTTCCCCGGTTTCTGAGTGTCACCCAGTGTCAGCTAATGTGGGTTTACTCTGGTGAACTTGATCCCTCTCTAGTTCCTCTCCCTTACACTGTTTACAGTGGGCAAGTCTGTGGGGTTTTCCCCCTAGTCTTCCTGTACTTCTCCCTATACCGTTGCACTGTCTTTTCAATTGTATATTGAAGCTTGTATATTCAATTGTATGTACGTCTTCACAGCTCCCCCTGCTTTGTTGCACGTGTCAGAGTGTTGAATAAATCTTTGTTGAAAGGGTGTATAGTTAGCTTGACATAGTCTGTTGTCTTCCAGTTCTATTACACGTGTGCTTGAAGAGTAAGGTACAAATAAGTCTTCGGTGTGATCTGAGAATTTTTTTAATCATTTGTAAAATAAATTAGGTTTCGTTTTATTTATATTTTCAGGCTTGAAGGATGCATTTCTCAGAAGTCATGTAGTTACAGCCTCACAATGCAGCTTATGTCCTTTAAATAAGTGTCCTTGGTGACCCCAGGGTCATGGGAACACGCTGTGTTTGAGGGACCTGCAGAGACTGAGGTGCCACCCCTGCCCTCATGTCCGTGCCACTGCGAGACCACAGCACTCAGGGCAGCTTCCGTTGCCTTTGTGGGGGCGCACCTTGCTTCCTTTGCCCCTTCCTCATAGGACAGCATGCTTTTCACTGCTGCATTTTTCTGGTACCAGCCCCCCACCCTGCCCCAGTCAGCCACGGAGCACCTGAGGTGACCGATGTGAACCCCGCCTGTCCAGGGCATCCCTCCTCCTGTGTCTTCACCAGGAAGTTCCCTGGCACGAGAGTGGATACTCGCAAGCTGCCTGTAATTTGAATGTATTTAGTGCTGGTTTCCACCTTCCCACGGCCAGTGTGCAGTCTGTGACTCCAGTGGTGTCTTTTTGGGGGGTGAGTTGGGGTGTCACTCGGACCTCAGGAGGCCACGCCATCCACCTCAGTCCCTGGAGCCCTGTTCATGCCTTTCCCCGTGGACTCTAGGCTTAAAAGCATTTGTTTTCCAGGTAAATGCAGTTATTAAATTAATAGTTTTCCCTCTATTTTGCATCAACCCAGATTTAACCTGTAGTCATAATAAGGTGAAATCCCATAATTCAGTGGGATGACTATGATGCTGCATGGGCGATGTAGCTACATGAGCTGGCACTTGCATCGTGGTTTAGTTGTTTTTCTCTTCTCATACTGATGACCAAATGGCACGGAAGCAATTTTGTCAACAGGTCTCGTTCCCCAGTTGTGCGTCCCCTGCGCCCACCTCCACCCGGGCGCATCAGTGTGGCCATGCGCGTTGCGGGTCCAGCCGGTGCGCTCACAGGAACCGGGCCCTTCCTTCAGCCTGGGCTGCGCGGTAACCCATGGCTCATGGGACCGTGTCCCCCCAGGGGCCGAGTATCATGTCATAAAACACCGCTCCCGCGTGGTCTCCGGGGGAAGTCAGTTGTTTTTGGAAAGGGAGATCGTGGTGAGAATAGGCCTCCTGGTTAAGGATTGTTTTGCTTTTGTTTTTGTTTTAATTGATGAGGCCACGGCTGTCAATGCTAGTAGTAAAACCGCCTCTTGGGGTCATGATGCCCTGAAATCTCAGGCAGGGAGCCCTGCCGGCTGGCCAAGCTTGGTAGTTTGTGATTCACCCTTTAAATCTCAGGACCTAGCATATACATGCCTGTGTGCATGTGTGTGTCTCTTCACACAGATGCTCAGTGCCAGCGTCTCACTCCGCTCTCTCGCGTATGTTCCTGGGTTACGTGTGTGCACGCGGGTGCCCATGGGAGATGGAAAGTGGGGTACCTGCCGCACCCAGGCTCACACCCTGATCCTCGGCGTCCTTAGGGCCTGTCCCGTGAGATGACCTCCGATTGGTTGCGAGATTCTATTAGTTCTCTCCCTGGTTGTTTTAAAGAATTGTCTGTAAGTGGTTTGTTTATTCCCCGTTTTCTGATTTGCTGCTTAGGGTTTTCCAGGGCACAGAAGCCACGTCATCAGATGCGTGCGATTGGAATGTGAAACAGCAGAGAGCTCTGAAGAGGAGCCTGAGAGCAGACCTGCTGTGGGCGAGCTGCACTGCGATGCAGACCTGTGACCCTGCAGGGCGCTGGCTCGCTCTGTGGGCCCGTGCGTGGCTCAGGCAGCTGAACTGTAGGCTTTTCGCCAGGCCTGCACAGTGCGGGGGGGGGTGAGGCAGCGACCCCTAAGGTCACTTTGTCATCCCAGTTCTCTGACTCCTTTCCATGCTCAAGGAGGTGCTGTGGTGCCAGCTGATGGGATTGGGCAGGACGGAGCGGCCGGCAGGAGGCGAGGCTGCCAAGCCCCAGCCCTGCCCCTCTGCTCTCTCCTGCAGCCTGAGCTGTGCCCGCTGCCTCCTATGTTTAGCTCTTCCCTGTGGGCCTGTGTGACAGCGAAATGAAACCAGCTCCGCGGATTGTGGCGTCCGCCCCTGTGCCCGCTGGTGTCTCTGCAGAGCCCTGCGGACTGACGGCAGAGGCGGCCGGCCAGATCCCCGAGGTCAGGCGGCCGGGGCCGGTGGTGTGGGAGTGGAGGTGGCACCCACTTGACTGCAAACACAGCACAAGTTGCAGGAGCATCGTTGGCTTCAGAGCAGAGGCCCTGGGCAGACTGGCGTGGGTGGGACGTTTGTGTAGGTACCTTTTTCTTTCCCTGTTTCTCTTTTCCCTTTATTCCTTCGTTCTCTTTGGAAGGAGGTGTTCAGGGAATCTTCTGGAACTTCCAGAATGCCCTTTGCTTTGTGTGAGGCTCCATTTTCAAGAGTGTCCAATGGCTTCCACTTGCTGGAAAGGTGTATGTGAAGTGCAGAGCTGTGATAACCTGGTTCCCTCTTTACAGGGTAGTTAGCATGAAATGGCTGTTCTTCCTGGGAGGTGTGTTCCAGTGACACATGGGCACCAAAGGGCTTTTTACCAACTTCCGAAGGATGTGCAGGGACGTGGCTCACCACGGAAACCGCGTGGTAGGGTCACTTGCCCAGGCAGGCTCACCGGTAGCCCTCAGTGAAGTGGCCCCCTGGTAGAGGGTGGGGGCCGTGTGGGCACCGTAGGAGCACAGGTCTGCTCCCTCCGGCTGGCCATGACCCTGAGGGAAGTGGCCTCTCTGCCCCGTTGCCGTTTCCCTGATGGAGCTCCAAGTGGACCCGCGCGTCCTTCCCCTCTGAGCTTTCCATCTGGGAGCCAGGCGTGCACAGGGTCTGCCTCAGACAGGCGTTCTGGTGTGTGTGTTTGCACACCCTGTAGTGTCCGCTGTCACGCAGCGGGCCATGCCTTTCTGACCTCCTCAGCACTCAGAGCCACTGTGGGCGGTTGGCAAGCAACGGGCCGTGCCCAGCATGGCAGAGCCAGAACTACATGGGGCAGCTCAGCGATGCGTGGGTCCCGGAGTGGGGATGAAGTCTTGTGCTTTTTAGGGAATAGTGGACCTACAGTGGAGCTCAACACCGCTCTGTGCCTCAGGTCCGGCCCTGCCCACAAGAAGAGCTCTGGGAGGCGAAGTGAATGACTCTGGGTTCAGAGAGGTCAAGCCAGAGGGAGGGATCAAGGTGGGCCTTGTGGGTGGCTCGGGTGAGGTGAGCAGCGGCTCATCCACCTGGGCGTCGGGAGCATGGCTTCCCGAGACCCGTTCTGCCGGGACGGGAGCATGCCTCTCTCTGCACCGGTCAGACGTACTAAGATAGACAATCTACACCTTTTGTGCTTAGAAGTTTTAAATGGCATGTAACTATTATATGATCGTTATAGGAAACGAGGGTAAAGAAGCAAAAAAAGAAAGAAAGAAAGTCCCCCTGACCCCTGAGCTAACCAGCACGAGCAGCTCTGTCTCCATCCTCGTAGACTCTTGCTGGCGCGGACAGACGTACGTGAGCGGAACCGTGTGCCGCTCCTGCTGTGGAACGTGTCTGTCCGTGTGATCATCCTCCACATCCTGTGGGTCGCCGCATTGGTGTGTTGGGAGCCAGCGATGACCAATGGTCACGACGTGCCCGGGGACGTGCCAGGCACTCACCACCCGCGACCCGGGCAGGACAGGCAGGAACCTGCCCCCTTGATAGAAGTGCGGTGCTGGAGGGACACACGTTTCTCACCCCCTTGGATGCAGGCTACCTGAAAAACACCTCTTGTCAAATAGATGAGCGAGTGTTCATTTTAACAAGTGAATCTTTGCTTGGAAAGTAAATTGTAAAAGTATTTTAATTTCAAAGAAAATGTGAGAGATTATGAAAATGGAAGTCACAGCCTCTCCCTGCCTGCTGGAATGCGGGCCGTGCTGAGGGCTGCGCTCCCAAAGGCTGGGGTCCGGAAGGAGGGGCGGCACCCGCACAGGGCAGTCCGACTGGCACTGCCCTGGCCCGGTACTCAAGGCCAGCACCAACAGTTGCTGGGCATGTGGGCAGTTTGTCCTCTTGGTGCGAGGGAAATGGCGTTTTTGCGGTCTTCCTGTGCGAACCCATGACTCCGGTCTGATCAGGGGAGAGCCTCGGACAAACGCCAGCTGAGGGGCATTCTGCAAAGTCCCCTCTCAGCCCTCCGCAGAGCTCTCCAGGCTGTCGAAACAAGGGGGCTGAGACCCTGGCGCCCCACGGAGGCGCCTGAGGAGCTGTGAGGCCCACACGTCCTGTGCTGTCTGGGGGGTCCGGGAGAGAGAGTGGACGTTGGGGGAAGACTAAGGAATCCGAAGACCGTGTGGACTGCAGTCAGTCGACGGTGCTGCGCTGGCACTGGTGTGTCCACTGAACGGATGTGCCCAGGTGACGCAGGATACTGACAACCAGGAGACCAGGTGAGGGTGGGGAGGGACTTGGCTGTTTCTGCAGCTTTTCTGTAAACCAGCACTTTGAAAATAGTTTATTAAGAAAATTTTAATGTTAACATTGTCATGATGTGTTTACAATGACCGTCTTTAAGAAGAAAAATGAATTTATATGCAGTTTTTAAAAGCAGAGAGTAGCAGAGCTAGTTTTGTTTCTTAACAGAGCTGTCAGTGGACCCCCATGACCAGCGCCTGCCGTGTTCGTGTTCGGGGAGTGAAACTGACCCACTGTTGGCCTCTCTCTGCCCTCCCGTGCTCATCCCGAGTGGTGCTCTCACACCTTCCTTAAGGAGCAGGGGATCAGCTAAGCTTTGGCATTTACTTTGTCTCCTTCTCTTTCATGAAAATGCACAGATCCCCTTGGAATTCCCCCCAAAACCTGCAGGCTGAGGCGGGGGCCGGGGGGTGCTGCTTGGGGAGCCCTTGGTTCTCCGATTCCCCAGGGTCCGCGGACCTCTCTGAGGAAGGCCGTGATGCCCGACTCATTTTTCCTTGGGACTTTCTGTCACAGGCCCAAGGACAGAAGTGGGAACCCTTCAGAACCCGTTGCGGAGGAGCCGGACTGGTCTTGAAGGGCCGACTGGGGAGCGTGCTTGAAAAGACAGTCTCGCTCCCCAGCCCCCTGCCCGCCGCCGGCTGCCTGCCGCTTCGGGGGCCTGTGTGCCTGATTCTTCCACGCTCCCGTGATTTCCTTTCTTCTCCTCGGCTTCCTACTAACAGAGTGTGCCAGCGAGAACTTTCATTCCTCCCTCCCATCCTGTTTTCACAAGATTTCTGGGATGCAGGCAGGTTGGGATTCTAACTGATACTTCGGGGGAAGATGCAAACTTTCCAGAGAAGAATCTCTAGCTGTTGTGGGGCGTTGCTGGGTCTCGCACGGAAGCCACAGCCACTCCACGATGTGGGTGCAAGACCGGCCTTTCCACTGTGCACTTCTGTCCCCGGTGCCAGCGGGCGGGCGGGGCCCCTTCCTTTGTCTGTGCTCTGCCCGCGGGCATCTCCGGTACCTCCGGAGAGGGAGCCTCTCTGCGGGAGCCACAGCGCCTCCAGCACTTCTTTCCAGAGCCCCCTTATTTTGTAGAAATCTTCGAGTTTAGTTTTTTTGAAGTATTGTCTTACCCAGTTCCCTATGAACCGCCCTTCTGCCAGTGGTAATCTTTGTTATTAGCACTTTAACTAAAGAGGAATATTTGTGCACACATCCGCCGGGTGGACAAGCACAAAGAAAGGGGTCTTCCGGATTCAGTGCAGCAGCCCACTCGCCTTCCTTGACACCGGCTGGCCGCGCTGTGGCTGGGGACCGCCCTGCTGCCCGCGGGCAGGGGCATCGACCGCCCTGCTGCCCGCGGGCAGGGGCGTCCACCGCCCTCATGGTGTCCGAGGCCTGTGCCTGGCCGGCGAGCGAGGCGGCCTCACTTCAGGTGGCGCGCACAGAAGGCCCTGGCGTCGGCCTCCCGGGTTCACGCCCAGCTCAGTCAGGGCCGAGTCCCGGGACGTCTCCGAGCCCCAGTCAGTCCTCTACACACGGAATCGCGACAGGAACACCTCCTGTGAGGGGCTCGGGACAGCAGTGCCCGTCACAGGGCCTGCGGCCTCCGGGCCTGCGTGTGGTTCTTACGTGAACCTGTAAGACTTCACTCTCTAGAGGCACTCTTCTCCACTCCGCTGGTCCAGCATCCGAAGGGGCGCACTTTGTTCTGATGGTTAAAAGATGAAAAGAGACAGAAACAGAGGGAACCTTGTGGCAGGCGGGCCTGGGGAGAGGTGTCTGGGGAAGGGCGCCCCGTGCCGGACACGCTGCTTCGGTTTCACCGGTGGGACAGCTGGGGGCAGGCAGTGAATCCCGCTGCTGAGCGTGCCTGCCGGCGGCGCTTTCCGTTTCATGCCTGGTGGCTTCCTTTTTCTTTTTTCCTTCTGGTTTCATACCCTCACTGAAGAAAATTAACAGGGCGCTGGACACTGTTAAATTCATTCGGGTGAGCTGAGCACCGCCTGACAATAGCACTATTATTCTAAGACGCGAATTCCTCCCTGAGCGGACACAGTCGCCTCAGTCTCCACCCTCCGCCCGGCTGGTCTTGCTGCCACAGACAGAGCCTCCATTGACGTCCGGGGGGCGCTCGGCGGGCATGACAGCCAGCCCGGCGGGTTTTCGCCGTGTCCGTTCTGTGTGGCCGGTGGTGGCGGGAGACTCTCGGGTGGCTCTCTGGCCCGTCTGCCGTGATGGGAGGGTCGTGATTCCCCGCCCACTGTAGCATTTCAGCATTTCAGGAACCCGTACAGGACCACAGGCTCTGGGACCCAGGCTCTAGGACCCAGGCTCTTCCCCGGGAAGAGGCATTAACGCAGACATCCCAGGGTGGTTGGACGTGGGGGTCAGCTAACTGAGAAAACTCCCTTGCACTTGGCCGCTGGTGAGTGGGTGGGCAGTCAGCTCACTCAGGGCGCCTAGAAGCGTCAGCACCCGCCTCCCGCGTCTTGATGAGAGTCCCATGTTGAGTTCATGTCTGTCCCCCTGAAGCAGTGAGGTGGACGCTGCACGGCCGCCCCCAGCTTTTCTGCTCTGAGCCCTTTCTTGCTCTCCTCGTGTTCCCGCTCTGTCCCGCTCTGAGTCCCGCGGACTCGCTGCTGCAGCCCTGCCCGGCCCTAAGGGCAGTCCCGTCAGCTTAACCTCACCTGCTGGCTGGGGGTGGAGCCCTGAGCCACCTGCCTTTGAGGACCAGTGTCTGTTGGTGGCTCTGGATGAAGTTTGCTCTCTGGCATCCAGTGCTCTTTTCTTTCACTGAGCTCACACTGCTCTCCGTTTTCTGAGTGACGTCTCTTGTTCCTTCAGGAATTACTGTGGCAGAAATGTTCACATAACCCAACGCCTTTGGAATACCTGTGGTTTTCTTCAAGCTTATAAATGTTTGATATATGGTGTTTCTTTTTAACTAAAAACTACGAGTCAGGAAAGATCAGCCAGAACCAGTTAGGTGACATTCAGGAGGGGTAAGGGTGGTTTTGGAGATACAGTGAAAAAAAAAAATGATGTTACAGGCACGCACCTCGGAGAACTGACCTGGCGGTGGGTCGTTAAGAAATGAATGGACACCCCCCTGGGGTGTGCTTCCCGTGTCTCGGGTGGGTGGTGGGTATGACTGACCGCTGCCAACAGTGGGTCAGCTGCGTGGACACCCACGTGGGTCGTTACACCCTCTGTGTGTGGGTCACCCCACACGTCTGAGTGATTCCGTTGGGGTCCTTTCGGACGACAGCACTGAAAAAGTTTGGCCGAGTGAAGCATTTTCCCTTTGTTTAGCGAGTTCCCACCATCCGGAGTGGCTGCTCACAAAGCAGGGAGGTTCCGTCCTCGCCAGTGTCAGACTCGACCCAGAGCTCCAGCAGTGGGGTCCTTCCGGGCGGTGTCCCCGTCCAGAGACACGGGCCTGATGAATGCGCGGACGAGGGACTAGCGACCACGTCGGAGGAGGAGTGTCCTCGGGGAGGCCCGCGTGGACGGCAGGCGGGCCCCACAGGCCTGATGCTGCAGTGTGATCGTGTGACCTCAGTGAAGGTCGCATGAGAGAGAAAGTGGCTGGCAAGATGGGAAACCAGGGGACAGTGTTCTCGCGGATAAGAGTCTGGCCTCAGCAACTCCGTGACCTTTTTGTATTTTCTCTCTGTTTCTAAAATTTTGCTTTCGACTCTTGGGGGTTTTAGTGACACCCTAGTGCAAGAGGGATACTTGCCACCCACTGGTGGCCAAGATTGCTCTGGCGTGTCTGCGTGCTGGTGAGGCTGCCCCCAGTGCCCTCACCCGGTCGCAGAAGGCGACCCCCGGCTGGAGGGCGAGTTCCGTAGTGGTTCCTCGTGCAGCTCGGCTCCTCTCCGCAGTTTCCGAGATGGCAGCCCACCCACCGTTGACCGTGATGCTCTGCACGTGCTCCCCAACTCTCAGCTCCGGGGCGGGCAGTGGGCGGGGGGGGTGTCCCGCTGCTCAAGAGGTGGAGAAAAGCAGAATGAGAGGGAGGAATGGAACGGGACACGTGAAAGCCCATGGTGTGGAAACGGAAGGTGTGATCACACTCATGTGGGGGCGGGGTTTCTTCAGCTGGGATGCACGGCCGAGAGAGGCCCCCCCACCCCCCGCCCCTGTCTTTGACGCACCCCTGCTCTGTCCCCTTGCAGAGCACCAGAACTACTTTGGGATTGACGAGAACCTTGGCCCCGTGGCCGTCAGCATCCGGAGGGAGAAGGTGGAAGACGCCAAGGAGAAGGAAGGGTCGCAGTACAACTACCGGGTGGCCTTCCGGACGAGCGAGGTAACGGCTGCCTGTGGGCACGTCCTGGGCTGAGCCACGGGCGCTCCACCTCAGGCTGTTTTGGAGACGGGTCGCGTCTCTCTTTCAGTGTTCACTGCTGCGGCGCAGCAGGTTATTGAAAGGGCTGCTCCACCTTTTCATTCCAAATAAAAACCCGAAACCTGCCGTGGATGTTCAGTGGCAGAGATTTCTCTGCCCCCTGAACAGATAGAAAGGACTAGGGTGCGGGGTGTTCGGGGCTGAGAGGGTGAGCGTGAGCTCCGCAGCACGTGTCTGGGTTTAAAGACGAGTCTGAAGCCTCGCAGGGAGTGTCAGCGGTCCCGCAGCGGGCGGCAGGCTGCCGGTGTGGTGGCTCCGTCCGCCCCACCTCGCTCCCCGAGGACGCAGGTTGGTTTCTGCTTGTCTAGCGCTGAGCGACGAGTGACATTGTCGTACCAATGGCACGATGGGGACAGCCCTGTGGGTAGAGATGTTGGTTTAGAGGGAGAACTAGATCTGGCTTCACTTGGGGTTTTATTCCCCTGACTCTGTTCAGTCAGAGGGAAGTATGTCTGGCGAGCGTCCCAGAACAACCGACCAGCAGACCGGACAGAGAAGGCAGAGCCCTCTGCTCGTCCCCGGCAGTGCTCACGGGCCTGGGCCCCGCTGTGCGTCCTGCCTGGTCGAGGGCGCTCGGGAGCCCCGGGCTCTGTGCTGGACGAGTCCGAGAGACAGCCCCCGTCCTGAAGTCACATCCTTAAATCACAGACCTGTGCTGCTGTCCAGTTCATGGGCCCCTGGGCACATGTGGCTATTCCAGTTTAAAGTGACTGAGTGAAAGTAAAAACTCAGTTCCTCTGTCCTACTTACTAGTCACAGGTCTAGGGTTCAGTGGCCACACGTGGCCGTGGCCCCATAGGAGCCAGTGCAGGCTGAGAATGTCCCAGCACTGCAGGACAGTGTGTCACAGGGCACACCGCAGACGCCAGCTCCCCTGTCCCCACATCACCACAGCTTCTCGCCGCCCTCCCCGGGGTCAGAGGTGGGACTAGAATAGACAGGGAGGCCTCTGGATTCTCGGGGCTGGGGCTGCCCCTCTCCCATTGTGAGAGAGCTGAGGTGTGAGTCGCGGTGGCGTTCCCTGCTGTTGTGACGTGCTTGGAGAGAAGACATATCCCGCATCGTGAGGCATCTTCGGGGACAGTCCGCTCAGCCCCGAGTCACCTGCTGCGGGTGTCACTGGGTGTCCCCACTCAGCTCCAGGACTAGTCAGCAGAGTCAGGTAGACAGAAGGGGAGGAAGGGGCGGAAGCAGGGAAGACAATGTGGAGAAACGGGGGAAAGAAGAGGGGCGTCTGGGAGGGAAGGGGTGACGGCGAGGCCGGGCCTCACGACCTCCAGCTTCCACTCAGCGTCCTTCTCCTGCCAGTCTGGGAGTCGTGGGAGCCTCTCTGTCTCCTCCTCCTCCTCCAGGCATCGGTCTGGCTCCGCCCACCCCGCCTGGCCGCCCACTCCTGCAAGAGACTCTTCTCCTCCCTCTGTCACTAGTCACTGAACTCTCACGTCTGCCCCTGCAGCTAACCACGCTGAGAGGAGCCATCCTGGAGGACGCCATCCCCTCCACCGCGAGGCACGGCACGGCGCGGGGCCTGCCCCTCAAGGAGGTGCTGGAGTACGTCATCCCCGAGCTGAGCATCCCGTGCCTGCGGCAGGCCGCCAGCTCGCCCAAGGTCCCGGAGCAGCTGCTCAAGCTCGACGAGCAGGGGGTGCGTAGCGTGTGTGCGAGGCCCATGCCTGTGTCTCACGCCCTGTGTCTCCGTGTTCCGGGGCTGCGGTGTTTCCCCACCCGTCTTTCCCTCAGGGTCTTTCGTTCTCAGCGCCTTGAAGCGCTTTCTCTCTAGTTTTCCCCAAACATGCCTTCTTATGGGTTAAGACACGTGATGCCTTCATAGTGTACTACACCTGCTGAGCTGTGCCGGGGGTGGTTTTTCCCCAGGTGTGGCGTGTCCAAGCGAGCAAGAGCACGTCTGACCTGTGACTTGTAGGGGTCAGTGGCATTGTTTTCCCAGGGTTTAAAAAAGTCACGCCGACTGCTGTCCTGAACTAATGTTTGTTCTTGTCTGCTGTGGGCATCCGCTGGCCAGGTGGGAGTGAACAGTGTGCGGCGGGAACCGTGAGGCTGACTCAGACCTAGTCACCAGCCCACGGGGACAGGAGGGCCAAGCGCACAGTGGCCTTTGCAAGGCAGAGTGTGGTGCTGGACCCGGGAGAGCGGGAGATGCAGAGCGTGCTTTGGGAAAGCAGGCCCCTGGCAGGACACACCTCCCGACGCAGGTGACATTGTCGCTGGGCCTTGAGCCTGGGGTAGAGTTCCAGGAGGGAGGTGTGAGTGGTTGGTGGTTTTAGGGGCTGTGACTTGTTTCTGTGCAAGAATGGGCACACAGAGGGAGGTTGAGAGTTTTCAGAACAAAACGAAGTGGGTTGAGCTAGAGCTGGGAGGACCCAGAGTGCTTGGTGCTGGGGCGTGCGTGACTGCGTGGGCCGCGGGGGCGGTGGGGGCTTCCGGGATGGGACTGGCCAGAACTGGACTCAAGGAAGATGCTTCTGGCAAGGGGGAGAGGACAGACGGGCTGGCGAGCACAGATGGGCGGGGGCCTAGAGCTCAGCTGTGTGACTCTCAAGCGTCCAGGAGGGAAGTAGCAATGGGCAGGCTTGGGGTAGTGAGTGGCTCAGAAGAGGGAAAGAGGTCCCTTATGTTTCACATGCCAGAGACTTGTAGGAGGAAGGTGAGAGGTAGGTGTTTGGGTGTATACAGCCCACTTTAAATTAGTGGATTTGTTTCTGCATGCTTTAAAATATAAAGACAGTACTGATGTGTGTTTCCAGAATTTCCCGAGGAAAATTCCTTTTGCAGGTGTGTGAGGGGCTCCTCGGCACCTCTTGGTTGGCCCAGTCGTACTCCCCGTGGTGCCCTGGTGCACCGTCTGGTATGCCCTCGGCTGGAATGCTGTCGTAAAGATGATGAACTGGTCATTGGTCTAACAAGTTAACACTGCATATTGGCCAAAGGAAGTGGCTCTCTAACACTCAGAAACAACATTGCCGAGATTGCTCTATCTTAGGAGTGAGCGCTGACATACTAAAAATATCTGGACCAAACCGAAATTCTAGATAAGAGCATTGACTTCTAGAATCGTGTGACTCACAGAATAGTGTTACCAAGACCGTTGCTGGTGGCGTGTGTGGGACAGAGGAAGCGCCCGAGAAACAGCTGAGGAAACACGTTTTCATGGAGGGAGAGCACACTGGTTCAAGTAGTCAGCACTCACGCGGGTCAATGAGAAGGACACCATTCCTTGTCACACTGGTTGCAGGGGAGTCCGTGAAGACAGCCTGCCACCCACGTGGCAGTTCTGCGTCCCTTTGGGTCTCTGGTACACGCTGGTTCTCCCTTTAAGCCACAGGTGGCAAACACAAGGCCCACAGGCTGAATCTGGCCCTCTACTTTGTTTTATCTGGCCCTGCACCCTGTTTCTACCCCGGCGGCAATGCTGAGCTCTCGTGTAACTGTTAAGGAGTAGTTACATTTATGCAGTCCTCAAATTACATTCGGCCCTTCGAAGGCAGCTGTGAGGCTGATACGGCCCCTGGTGAAATGAGTTTGACGCCCCTGCTTTAAGCCATGCCCCTGTGTACTGGCCCTGGCAAGTGCCTGTGGACGAGGTGGCTGGGCCCCTCGGGCTGCTGTGGAGGAGGAGTCCAGGGGTGGCCCGTTTTCCCCCAGCCCGCCCGCATCCGGAAGTCCTCAAGGCCCCGAGAGACCGCCTCGCAGCCGCAGGTGGTCCTGGGTCTCCTCGCAGAATGGAGCAGGGCTTTGGGAAGTCTGTGTAGCAGAGCAGGACCGGAAGCTATGCCAGGCAATTTTTTGGAAAAAAAGCATTTTAGGCACTTTCAGTGAACACCTATTCCCAATATGACATCAAGGAATTCACTCTTTGAGTGCCGGGTTCTGCTTTTAAGCGAACCAGTCACTGCATCGTGTACGTCTCCTTGTAGTTTGTGTGTTCCTCCTCCAGAGATTGTGCTTGTTCTGCTTTACTTTCTTAACGGCACATGATGGGGCATTTTAACTTTCCGTAACTCTCAGTGGTATCCCGTTCCCACATTACATGAAGAAAGCACTACTTCTGTCCACCTCTAAAAGAATGGGACAGCTCTTTAAACGTCACAGATTCTAAAGGATCCTTAAAAGCCCCCACTCTCCCCTGTTACGGGGGTCGAGGGTTTATCGTGGGTGACAGTGTTTTTATTCACTTTGCTAACAGTGCATCTGTCCAGGGAGCGGTGGGCCAATCTTATGCGACTGTTGCTAATAGTTTATAACACTGATAAAATATTTAAAGGGTTTATCGTCAGTTACAGTCTCTTGGAGTTCGTATCCATTCGGGTTTGAGACAGTCACTGATAGATCCGCTCTGTACGGGACATTTTGGGAGATTTAATAGGGACTGAGATCAGTTATTTCGTTCAAGTTGGCGGGATGTTTTGAGCAGGAAGACTGTATGCTATGGGGAATTACAAGGAAAGTAATTACTTAGCGGGACTTTGAAAATTTGGTTACTTCATGTCAATTCACCTCTCAACTTATAAAACCCCATCTTTAGTGAAGACGATGCTGTTGGCTGCACTCGCTGAGATTCCCCAGGCAGCCGCCTCACTGACTGTCTGGGATTGTGTGTTTTCGTTAGGTAACTAACGCTAGGATGAGACTGCTTTTCTCAGTCTGCCACTCAGGGGAAGCGAGTATCACTGCGCCTTATTTTACTGATGGAGCCGGCTATGAATTTTGATCAGAGCCTCTACTTTACAGCCTGATAATAAAAGCAAACCACGTTACGGACTGATGCGTCGAGGGAATTGCTGATGTCTGATAATCTGTCAGTTTTGGAGGCTCAGATTGCTGCCAGTAAGATTAAGTGCTCTGATTTCACGAGTGCGAAGTGGGTCCTCTCCGGGGAAAGCCGGAGAGCTCTCCAGGCGGATCCGGTTTCCCCCTGCCCTGGGGGAAGGCTGCCCCCGCGGCTTCCAGCGCCACACGGGATGGTCCGAGATAGAGTTACAGCAGGAACTCTTCAATTGCTATTAACATTCTTTATGGGCCATTGTATATTTAGCAGATGTTTTCTTTTCGAGACAGTCAGAGATGTAGAAATGACTTTAATGGTACAGCCAAAGTCAACTTTTATGGAAACAAAACATTATTCTATTTATGTACATATATCACAGTGTTCCATAGGGATTCTTGCCTTACCAGACCTTAATTTGATTTGTTTTTTCATTGCAATGTTTCACATTTCATATTTTTATGAATGTTCAAGTAACAATAAAAAAAAGAACATTAAGAACCAGAGAGTGAAAGCTTTTAAAAGTCTGTGGCCTTTCTTCTTCCTGGCTTGGAAGACGGTGCTCATTACTCTGCGGCGGGGGCAAGATTAAGTTAAATTTCCGCAGTTGCGTTTTTAAATAGATGCGTGACCTTATCTCTTCGTTTAGAAACCTGGCAAATCCCACAGGGCCATGCTGTGCGTATGTTTCTGGGGACTCCTGCCCTTTCTCCTGCGGTGGTTGGGGGTGTCCGGGTTTGTTACGTGTTTGGAGCGTGTGTGCAAGGACAGTCGCTGCTTCTATGGCCTGTCCGCTTGTGGGAACTGTCCCGGGTGCTCTCCTGAGAACCGGATGCTAAGCTTCTCTTGTTTCTGTTTTCCTGGAAGTGAGCTCATCCGGTGCTCTATGACGCGTAACCCCGCTGCTTCCCCGTTTCAGCTGAGCTTCCAGCACAAGATCGGGATCCTGTACTGCAAAGCGGGCCAGAGCACCGAGGAGGAGATGTACAACAACGAGACGGCGGGGCCCGCGTTCGAAGAGTTCCTGGACCTCCTGGGCCAGCGCGTGCGGCTGAAGGGGTTCAGCAAATACCGGGCTCAGCTAGACAACAAAAGTAAGCTTCACATCCGTGTGTGTTCATGCTCCCCGGTTGCGCACGCGCCGAAACCTAATCAGGCGATCACAGCCCTCCTGTGCTTGACCCCAGGAGCTGCTTCGCCAGCTTGTTTGGGATCGAGTTTAGTTTCCTCAGATGAGTCTAGGGAGCTCTTTCCTCAAGAGGCATGTGTTTCACAGGAGCTCAAAGGCCAGTTCTTCCTCCTTTGTAACACCAGCGAGAGACTCCCCAGTGCAGCACGAAGGACCTTTTCATGTTTTCTTCTTTCTCTTCGCCGCGCCTCTTTCATTGCACCCCCGTTCTGGGTTGCTGAGGACGGGCACCGCGATCGCTTCTAAAAGACCGAACGTTAACACGTTCACGCGTGCCATGCTCTGGGGGGTGGGGCTTTGTTCATTCCTGGTCCCACTCTGTGAACTCAGGGGTTGGAGCTGTGATTAAAACACTGGGGCATCAGCTCTTTCAAGGACCTTGGTCAGGACGTCTGAGGTTCCAGACTGACTGGCGGGTTTAAAACCCAGGCCTTCTGCTGACCTAGTGTGCGCACTTGTCTTGCATCTCCGTTTAGATCATCCTGTTCCTCACGGCCCTTGTAAATTCAAAACGCTCTGCCTTTGTTCTCGGGCTGTCCTTCGGTCACTGTCAGCACCTGAGCCACCGGGCAGGGTGATTTTGTGTACTTTGGAAAATCCTGCTTAAGATCAAGCAGTGAATTGCTTGTTCTTTTAATGAGAGGAGCAGAAAGAGCCTGAAGCTGGAGGGTCTGGGAAGCATCCAGCCCGCGCCTAGGGGATGATGCAGTGGGAACATCAGTGCGTGGCCCAGCTGGCGTGGGAAGCAGGGTGCTCAGGCTCCCTGCCCGCAGTGTCCACTCTGCCTGGGACTGTCGTTAGTACTCGCCTACATCGGCGGTGCCAGGTCCTCGCGCCCTTGCCATCAGCGGTGGGTTGCAGAGTTACACTGAGAGGGTAGGTCTCAGGCCCAGAGGCAGTGTTAGCGCACGCGTGGGCCCCGGTGCGCCCTCCACGCTTGCCCGGGTTGGAGCTGGGCTGCATGTTGAACGCTGTTGCTCTGCCTCAGGTGGAGAAAGACACAGAAGTCATTTCTGGCGCCCACTGTGGATAGCCACATATTTTGAAAGTTCAGTGAGACTTTTTCTTATTTTTCTTCTATTTTTTTCTTGGCAAATTCCTCTTACCCACAACTCCCACCCACCCCTTGGAGGTGCCGGCGTGCCGCCCTCTGTGACGTCCTCCCTGGAAAGCTATGTCACTGCGTGCGCCTGTCAGTCGGTCTTCGGTGGGGTGGACTGAGGGCATGCTGGAAGACTGTGTCATCGGCACAGTCGGTCAAACTGCAGCATAGATCACGCAGACATTTATCCATTCATAGAACTGACATCAGCTTTGCATCTTTGTGACTTTGGAGATGTTTTCCACGCTTTAGTTATAATCACCTTAGCTGAAGGGAATTGCGATGTTCGAATGAGATTGCACCATGTTGATTTCCAATAAGGCGTTCTCTGAGATGCAAAGGAGTCTTAAGACATTCCCCTGGTGGAAAGGAGGCATCTGAGAATGATGTTTCATGGAATAGTCAAATGAAACGTGTCTTTCACAGAATGTACAGAAAGTATCTTAAATTCAACAGAGTGGTGCTCTAGTTTTACCGTCTGTCAAACATGGGCCTCCTTTTCTTCATAAGGGAAATTCAGAGTGTCTGGTGTCTGGGATGTCCCCTTGAGCTGTGGCAGGAGCCGGCTCTTCTCTCTGGCACACTGAATGGGGCGGGGCCAGAGCAGGCAGAGCTGCCGAGAGGCCCTGCTCACCTGAGTGCAGGAGGCCCCGAGCGTGGGCAGTGTCTTCCGTCTGGGTGCGGAGGACGGCAGCGTGGACTCCGCTGCCACACCCTGTGTCTCCTTGTGAATGGAAACACAAGGGTGGCCCCTGAGTAAGCTGGCCAGTCACCTCCTCCTTCACCGTGCTGCTGTTTGAGATGGGAACTTCCAGAAAGAAGTTCATCTCTTAGCCCTGCTTGTTACAGACAGATTATTACCACGTTTTTCGACGTGTTTTTTACCTCCCCAAAATGCACCTTTCTTCTTTTACTGTAATTTCCTGCAGCTAACACCCGTTGGCTAGACTGTTTAGTACCTGCCAGGATCCCACTTCCTGAATGGTAAGCATCCTAGCCACAGTGTCATGATGAGAGTCCTTGAGTGCGCTGCGTTGTCACCCTCAGACCTTCAGTGTCGCTCTGGCCAGTTGGCCCCTCACGGAGAGAGATGGCTGTCGTTTTCTCATGCGCATGCCTGCCTCACCACACACCCCGTCAGGGTCCTGAGCCAGCACAGTTACAGTGGAAGTCGCTTCCCAAGAAATTCTATGAAAAACACCATGTGCCTTTAATGAATAGCTAAAAGAAAATCCCTTTATTTTCGGACTGGTTAACATACAGCTTGTCAGATGCGTACTCTCTCTGACCAGCCGCAACGTGACTTGTCAGTATCCACCCACAAACATTTTTAAATGTTCCCTGTATTTCTGAAATTGCCTCTGTGACTGCCTTTCAGAGTGCAAAACTATATATTCCTTCTAGAGCACTTTCACAACTATTTCTGAGTCAGATACAAATGTTGGAAATACAAACTTATTACAGGATTCGGAAAGGCCTCACAAAGTTCAACTTTTTTTAAAGATTTTATTTATTTATTTTTAGAGAGATGGGGAAGGGAGAGAGTGAAACATAAATGTATGGTTGACCCTCTAGCACACCCCATACTGGAGATACGGCCTGCAACTCAGGCATGTGCCCTGACTGGGAATCGAACCTGCGATGCTTTGGCTCACAGGCCTGTGCTCAAACCACTAAGCTACACCAGCCTGGGCCACAAAGGTCAACTTTTAATGTTTTTAGGTGAAAATGCACATTTCTCGATTTTTTTTTAAAAAGGTTAATCCAAGGTGACTACTTAGAGTTTACCCAACAAATACAATGGAATAAAGTGTGTTTGAAATGATACTGAACAGTATTGTCTCTTGTTTTTTAAAAGGTAGAGAAAGAAACCTGTATATGAGTCAAGGATTGAGAAAGGCAGTCCTGAATTCCGTTTACCTCTTACTTTATATTTATCCTTTTGTCTGTATTCATCTGTATGCAAAGTGGTTCAAAACCATCTCCTGAAATCATTACTGAAGTTTTTACGGTTACCATGTTGGTTCGGGCGTCTGACACTCTCCGTCTGCGGTAGTCTGTTGGTAATACAGACGGGTTTTGAATCACAAAGAATCGTTCCGCTTTTCAAAAGCTGACTCATTGAATGATTAACAGGGTTCATATGCTATAATTTTTAACATGTGTCAGTTCATGATTTACAGTAAGAGATCACACTCAGTCTTTGTGGTCTTAATCATGTGACCCAACCATTGCGTTGCCCGCTGAAAACAGAAGAAAATGAGTTACATCACTCAGGGAAGGAGTCTTCAACGATGCTCTCGTTTCCGTGCCGCGTCGGCCCTGTTCCGTTTCTCTGGGCTCCCACTGAGAACTAGCACACGCGCACGAGGCCGGGGCAGGGATAACTGCGGGTTGGCCCCTGCCCTCCAGATAGGTGTACCCAGGGCTGCACCCGCCGCTGCTCCCGCTGCCTCCCTCCTCTGCTGACCTCACTCCCCAGGGCAGAAGCGGCTCACCCCTGAGGGTCACCTCGTGCAGCGGCAGGAGTGTGACCCTCAGCTCAGCCTGAGCTCAGGAGAAGGCGTGTGGGTGAGAGCAGGCGAGTCTGGGTTGGGGAGCGGTAGAAACAGCACGCGGTGAGAGGGCAGGGGGGACCCCGTGTAAACACGGGTTGTTTACAGTCCAGTCAGGTCGTGTGTTTTTCCAGCCGAATTACTCTTTGCAATAAGGACATTCAAAGTGTTCCTTGGCTCGTGTCGCTAACTCCTTTCTGTGGTTGTCTTTGTCGCCAGCTGACTCGACGGGAACGCACTCCCTCTACACCACCTACAAAGATTACGAGCTCATGTTCCACGTGTCCACCATGCTGCCGCACATGCCCAACAACAGACAGCAGGTACGTGCCCCACGCCGCTCTCGCTCCACGGCCCAGAGCACGGCGGGGCCGCCCGTCGGCGGGCCCGACCCCGTCGGGGGACCCGGGCAGGTAGAGTTTGCGGAGAGTCACTGGCCTTTTTCCTCCGAGAAGGGCATTCATAATCTTCGACTCTTTCATTATTAGGAAGCATTTGGGCTTTAAAAAGGGAGTAATATTGCACATCTTTTATTGCACTCTTTCCTCATCGAACTTAGAAGCTCGTTCACACTCGCTGTTATTTCGTGCTAGGCAACATCTGCAGGGAGACCAGTGTCAGCTGTGTCCGTTGTCAGAAGGCCAGCGTGCGGCCTGAGCCTCGGTTTCCACCCGCGGGTAGATGACTTACGTACAGAACACACCGTGAGAAAGGATCTCCCAAGCCACTCATGGCGTGGCTGAATTTTAGGGCTTTGGTTGTATCTGGGTTCAGTCAGGAGCTGAAACAGAGTTGTCTTCATGCTCAGGAAGCTTAGTTCTCTCCTGATGTCCCTTAACCGCACCCTTGGCTCTATGTGGGTTAAATCACCAAGGACTGCGTCAGAGTTGCTAGCTAATTACTTGTTGAATGAATGAAACTGAAGCGTTGCACAGAACTGTTTTGATGCTTATGAAATTTGACAAAGACAGTCAAACTACATGTTTTTCCAAAGAAAGGGCCACTTGCCTTGTCCCCTGTAAGCATTTATTGAATTAATTATCAAACTTTCCTTGATGGTAATTAGAATTAGACGAGTTAATACATGTAAGCACCTAAAGTTGTGCCTGGCACAGAGCATGCTCCGTAAGTTTCAGAAGTCACTGTTATTTTATCACTCACTAGATAGAAAGCATAAGTATTTTAGGTGACTTTATTTGCATTTTATTTTCCTGTTCCCAGTCCCAAAGATCTAGTAAGTAAAACTAGGGCCTGAAGAGTTAAAAAGCAAGGGACTAATTTATCAGTAATTTCATAAAATTACTTCTACTTTGACATTCAGTGTTTGGCTAATCATGAGTTGTCATCAGAATATTCTGCTCATGGATAAATGATGTCACCATCCAGTCTTGAAACGTGTACTTTCCAAATTTTCGAGGGATTCTGCTGACTCTGTCCCTCTCACCCGCCCCCCCCCCCCCGCCCCACACCCACAGGTCATGGTCACGGCAAGTGACTGGCGGGGCTCATGCCTGCATTTGGAGGCCCCGGGACTTAGCACATCTAAGTGGCCTGCACGTGAACTGTGCTTGGAGCTTTGGCCTGATTAGCACCGTGGTTTTTGGGACTATTTAACTGGCCCAGACTCGTCCACATCAGATGTAATTTCTTATGTTTGTTCTTACAATAAATCAAGCCAAAAGCTGATTCCAAGATGTATTAAAAATCTTTAGAGAATTCACCACAGCGAAAGAGTCAATCTTTGGAATCTTTGCCTCTTGCAGCGAGGACCTAGCCAGACCGGGGAGTGATAAGAAGCCCCCTCCCGGAGAGCTTCCCCTCTGCAGCATGTCCCACAGGTCCCGGGGCCCAATCAGCGGTCAGTCCCCTTTCCCCGGGCTGTCTCCCCTGGGTGTTTCCCTTCTGCTTGTCTGATAGACTGAGCGTAGCAAAGCAGTCAGGGTGCCATCTGTGGAAAGAACTCCACAGATGAGCTTCACACTTCACGTGGGCAGAGAAACCTTCCCTTCAGATGAAGGGGGCCTGGTGCCCGGCACTCGGTGACTTCCTTTTTAACACGTGCATAGAGTTAGAGATGCCCTGCCTGGGAGGGCTCCTGAGCCCACGGAGCTCCCTGAGCAGTGAGACCCAGCCTGTGGGTTGCTGAGACTCCATCTGAAGAACCCTGACCCTGCCCAGCGATGGGCTTCACATCTGCAGAGATAATGGGGCAGAGCTTGCTAGGTCTGAGCCCCTTCTCCGCGTGACTCAGACAGCTGGTCGACCCCTGCCTGGCAGGGGTTGCGTCCTGACTCCTCTCAGTCCCTCGCTGGTACAGCTAAGCTGAGGAACCCTTCAGAGAGACAGATATCTCTCTGTCCCGAGGTGCCAACGAGCAGGTCTCGGCTGCGCGTGGGTTCACCTACAACGTGGAATGTTTTGGAAGAATCAAGTGCTTCTTCAACTCCGTGATTTGCTTTATTCCCAGGCCCTAAGTAGGAATGATCAGAAGAATTCAATAGTAAGAATTTTCTTTTAGAGTAACGGCTGGTACTGCTCAGTGTCAGCAGAGAGACATTTGTAGCTTCATAATCCTGTTGTTTTCACTCAGTTATTACATCATCACAATCCGCATCTTGGTTTATTTTTACTTCTCCATTTGCAAAATATCCAGTCTTGCTTTACTGTTAGGTACACTGATTCCTGTCTTGTTAAACTATTTTGTATTTTACATAATATTTAACATTAAATATTTAAAGTAATATTTTATGTTGGTTATGTGAAAATGGCAACTCAGCGATGGGTCCTGGAAGTGGTAGTTAAGTTTGATGGGAGCTTCTGCAGGTCTGAGGTGAGGGGTTGGCCAGCGTTCGGTGTATCCGGGGAGCTGGTGGGCAGGGCTCTCCTTCTCTCCACGTCCACCTTTCCTATGTCCATGGTAACATAGGCAGGCTTCCCCGCCCTCCTTACTACTGAGAATACTGTTCTGTGTTCACTTTCTCCATGTCTTCCCACAGGAGACTAGATATCTCTTAAAAGTCAAAGCAAAATTCTAACCACCAGTGCATAGTCAGGACTAGAGTTTATGAGGGGTGTGTTGGGACTGTTACATGTGCATGGGTAAAATTAGGAAGGTCAGTGTAAAAGGGGAGAAACTTCCCAGGCACAGGGTTCACAGGCGCAGAATGGCTGTGGCAGAACCAAGTTGGCATGTTGGAGGGCGGGCAGCTGTGGAGGGCGGGCGGCGGGCAGTCAGAGAGGCGGGAGGAGCCTTGGGCAGCCCTGTTCCTCCGGACTGGACTTCAGACTCCAACCCAAGGACTAAGATCCACGACTTGGGGTTGTGTTTTTATGGAGATGCATTTAACTTTTTGCTCACTTCTGAGCTCATCTCTTTGAATCTCAGAACTTGCAATCATTAACTGATGCAGTTTCTCTTTGGAATCGTGCTCATGTTCACATATCTGCTTCTTAAGACAAGCAAGTCTCTTGCGTTCTGCCTTCTCTGGTTTCAGACTCAGCCTTCTCCTCTCTGACTCTGACTCTTAGATGCTCCTGAACTACATCCCAGCTGCTTCTTTCGTATTGTGCCGCCCGCTTCGCTCTCCCCTCCAGAGTTTGGCGCAAACTGCTTTTTTCCTTGTATCTTGCTAGGTTTTAAAAATTTAACAAATGAGTCCATTTGCATAGACGCTCTACGTCTGCCTCGTTCACCTTTAAGCCCCTCGGATCCACGTGCAGCTGCCTGAGAGCGTTTGGCTTCCGCTTGGTTTGGATGCTTGCACAGCTTCACAGCTAGTCCCGACCTTTGCGTAGGGAGTGGAGAACGAGGCCTCAATGCTTGCTATTTCTGGGGCGTCTGGATGCTTTTTGCCGTGGAATTGGGTGAAGAATCACATTTTCACTTTCCTTGTCATAACAAGAGCTTATTTCTGTTTCACAGCTTGAATCAAGTGTTGGAAATTTTGTAGAACTCACTATGTAAATCTGTCTAATACAATATTTATTAACTCACTCTTGCAGTTGAAGACAGTTGACTCTCTTGGCTCCAAGCAAGTGTTATGAGCTTCAAGTGTCTAGAAAGGAGAAGTTCACCCTAGTGGGTGTCGTTTCCTAATTCCCAAACAAGTAATGCCTGCTAATCAGGGGCCCCCCTCCTCGGTTTGCGGGGCTGCATCGGCTCCTGGGTTGACACACCTTTCCTGACCATTTCCAGACCCTGATTATACAGAATATCACTGACCAGTTAGACAAAAAGCACCACTAACCATGAAAGAAAACATGGACCTTTTATAAGACATCCAAGAAACTATTTATTTAATGCTTGATAAGATCGTAGGAAACAGTGAATATTGTTTTGGTTAACTTTCCAGATGTTACGTTTCTTTAGTCTCTAGTCAAGTTCAAGCATGCTGTTAATGGACAAGGTGTGAATTTTTCTTATTTTATTCTACAAAGAGTTTCAGATTTTATTCTTCTTGATGACTCTCCTTGCTCCCCCCCCCCCCCCCCACACACACACACACACACTTTATTTTTTCTGCAAATTGCCTTTTGTGGTCATGGTGAAACAGAAATGAGACTTCTAAAAACATTTCGGGCCCACTTGACAAAGCAAAAGAATGTGCTCAGACTGGGACAGAGCGGTTCGACGTTGTCAGCATAACCAGTCTTCCAAGTTTCCTTTAGCCCCTGTGCTTTAAATACACCTGCAGTGCAGTGTGGGAGTGGACCCGCCTTCCCTCAGGAGGAGGAGCAAATGGATGGGAAGAGCTGGCTCGTTTGCCCTTACTGTGGTCACACCAAGGAAGCCAACTAAGGGGGCCATGCCCACCCAAGGGGGCCACGCCCACCCAGCTCCTGTGATTGAGAGGGCCTGTCTCAGGGAGGCCTGGCCTAGAATTGGGAGGTCAGGGGCTGTCATGGCCACCGTGGCTTCCACCTTCTGTTCTGTTTGTTAATCTGAAAATTCTTGTGTTTCGAGGGTATCGAGTCAAGTATAGTGTAAGCTATTGTGTTCCATGTTTGCCAGATATGTTTACACACAATGTTACGTATTTTAGCTGTTTTTTAACTTGTCATTTGTTCCTGAATTTCCCTGGTCCTGTTACAATGCATATGAACCATGTGCTCCCGTCGTTGGGGAAGCGAGAGAAGAGAATCTCAGCCTGGTACAATTTTTAGCTTTTCTGTTGAGGTTTGTTCTAGATGCTTATCTTCGCTGTCATTTTCTTTCCTTTACATGAACTGTTTTTCATGGTTAACATCTGTGCCCACTGTAGTGTGGGTGAAGGGTAACACAGTGAACATGACCGAGTTTGTTATGGAATTTTTACGTGCCTCTGAAATGACACATTTTACTTAAATATCTAGCCAAATTTTAAAAAACACATATGATTCATTGGGTTTGTATTAATACAGATTAATGTATGTTTCAGAACTTCCCTGATGGTAAGATGTCCTTATGTGTTTATAGCTTTCACCATGGGGTTTTAAATGGGAACGTTCACCCTCTGACTCAGCAGTTTAATTGGCACCAGAGGACTGTGGGAGGAGGAGCGCTTGTCCCCACCGCCCCAGGCCCTTTCCTGTGCTCTGTCCCAGGTCAGGGGCCTGACAGCAAAACCCTTTTCATGCCTGCATTGAAAAGGTTTTAAACATGGAACTAGAGCTCTCTACCGTGAGTGATACGTGTTCCGTAGGTGCCAAATAAATTCAAGAGCAAGCGCACTGTCTCTTGTTGCTGGTGGAGAGAGACTCCCCACTGTGAGATCACCCCTCCCTGCTGCGACCTCAGCCCTTCCGGGAGGCTCACTGATCCGCTCGGAACCGAGGAGGAGCCCAGCTGGGAGGGCAGATGTGGCGGCTTTGCTTGCGTCAACTCCCAGAGTGCCCTGTGTGTGGCTGTGACAGTGTATTTCTGTCATTTGTTTACTCATTTAGCAAATGTGTACCGGGAGCCTGCTGTGTCCCGGCAGGCCATTAGAAACTAGGAAACCAAAAGGCTGTGAGACATGTCCCCTGCTGTCACAGAGATCGGAACCAACAGCAGAAGTAAACCGACCATTAGAATATTCTGAGCACAGCCACCAGTGCTGTAGAGTGTGTGGGTGTGTGGGCGCAGCACCAACCTGGGCTTGCTCAGGGCAGTCATGTTAGGTGAGGTGGTATCTAAGCAGAGACCTGAGTTGTCCAGGAGCAGCTTGGGGGAAGGGGCACCCTTGGTAGAAGGAACGTGGAGGTAAAGGTGCTGACTGCTCAGAGGTTACCGCTGCCGTGGGCTCCTTCTCTGCCTCCACATGGTAATTTGCAGGAGTATAGACTACTGCGTTTTCCAGCTGTTAATCTGATGGAATTGTGTGTCTCCGAATTACATTTAAAATACCAAGTTTCAGTTAATGAGTTCGAACGTATTAGCCACCACTGTAGCAGTGGTGTGTATTTTTGTTGCAGAAACGCATGGTAGGTGGGAGCACGAGACACAGGCCCCTCACGCCACAGTGCATGACTTCTCACACATCTGTGCCCCCTTGGACTCTGTCTCCTCCTTTAAGCTAAAGAACAAACTCCTAAAATTCCTTAAAGCATTTTGAGCTCTAATGTGCTGTTATTTTAGGCTCAGAAGTATAAAGTAGAGGAGAGAGTGCAAGTTGGAAGAGGTGAACTTGGGTTTAGGCTTTTCTTTCCGGAGGCCTTGAGGCAGCCCAGTTAGCTCCTCCTGGGCCACGCACAGGAGTGCTGGCTTCCTGAGAAGACTCTGCTTTTCTAAATAACTTTCTGTTGAGAAATGAGCAAATGGCATATGTTTACATACTTCGTTTTTACCGAGAGTCTTGTTGGTGACTCTGTGTCTGTGCTCACTGCCTCGCCCGCAGCTTCTGAGGAAGAGGCACATAGGAAATGACATCGTGACCATTGTCTTCCAAGAGCCTGGAGCACTTCCGTTCACCCCAAAGAGCATCCGGTCCCACTTTCAGCACGTCTTCGTCATAGTCCGCGTGCACAGCCCCTGCACCGAAAACGTGTGTTACAGGTGAGTCCGCCTCCCCAGCTCCTCGTTCCTTCCCTGCGTTTGTTTCAGCAGACCCTCTTCCCAGATGTTGCTGTTGTTCTCCAGTTATTATTTTTTAACCCCGTAATTATCTGTTTTTTTTTTCATAATTATAGTTCCCTCTGTCTTCACTCAGGTACTTTCTGTAATAAATAATTGCCTTCTTGCCATTTTTGAAAAAAACGAAGTGCCTCCCAGTTGATAATCATAAAGTACACACTTCCTCTATTGTCCCCTTAAAAACTTCCCCCAGCCCCTGCCAGAACCCTAACTTAATCGTTCCCAGGCTGGGAGGCAGATGGTGTGGCCATTTCAGCTCTTCCTGAGCCAAAGAAACCATCGCAGTGGCAAAGCTCTGCCGCCCACCCCACCTTCTGGGAACGGTCACCCTGCGGGGCTGCCGGGCCGCGGGGCTCCCTCACGCCTTGGTGACTTCCAGCTGCCACCCCCGTGCCTCAGGCCGCAGCCCCAAAGTCCCAGGGCTGCTTCCGACAAGGCCTGCTTTTCTTCTTTCCCCCCGAGAAAGAGGAAACAGCTGCCACGGGAAGGTCTTCCTTGGGGTTCCGGGAGAAGAGTGGGTCTTTGACCTGAGGCGGGGGTGCTTTGTGTGAACTGTTTTATTTTTCAGAGCCTTTGATTCTTTCTCTTAAGCGTGGGCGTAATAGTACTGACTTCAGTGTGTAGCTGTGAAGAATAAAGAGCAGAAATTATGCAGAACAATGTAGAGGCCCTGGCACTTGTCATAGGATATTTCCTTTAATATCCTAACATGGTCACGGCCAGCCGGCTGCTGGCTGCCGACGGGGCCTGGGTGGGGCACACAGGTGTGGGTGTGAGAGCATGGGGGGAAGGGGGGCTACGAAGACCAAAGAGCGTGGCTTTTTCAAGGCAGAGGAACCAGTCTGTGCATGAGAGGTTGCCAGTTGACATGCCCAGCCCGTGCCCAGCCCCTCTGAAAAGAACACGGCATGTACACCGAGAGTCCTCAGCCCGCCTGTTGCCTCACAGTCAGCTTGTTAAACTCAGCAAGTCGTTGACCCCTCTGTGCGGTGTTCTGATTGATGCTGTAGGCCTGGGCACCTGCGTGTTTTCTCCCGGGGTGATTTTCATGTGTATCCGAGTAAAATGCCACTGGCCAAATGCTCAGGTCCATGCACTAATGCCCAAAAAGAGAAAGAAGAAATACCCCGTGTGAACGCGGTGCTTACACAGACAGGGCTGGTGCCAGCACCAGGAGCTCCGTGCAGGCGCCGCGGCAGGCAGTCCGGCCGGGGAGCACCCGCGGTGCCCCTCAGTGCAGACGCGTGGTTCAGGTGGCTGGCGGGTCGCACTGCCCTCCTCTCAGGAAAACCATGCTGCCCAGCAAGGGTCACGTCTGCTCGTGTGGAAGAGAGGCTCTCACCTCGCACAGGTGGTCTCCGTGGCATCCTCCACGGATGCAGCATCCCCACCAAAGCAAAGCTGAGTCCACTTGACCCAACAGACAGATGAGCAGGCAGCGTCCCCAAAGCTCCACGTGACGTGATTTTAGCCTGAAACTGGAAAAGCAAACACAGCGAATCACCTTTTTTATATAAGATTCTCTTATTAGTTGCAGCCACTGCAGCGCTACCTCTGAGGGATGTATGTATCCATGTACTTTCCAAGATAAACTCACAGCAAAACAGATCCCTTCCCGACCGAATGGGTCAGCCCCTTGCTGCACGGGCTCGGTCGCCGTCGGCTACAGTGAAGGGATGATCTGTGCACAGTGGTGACTGCTACTTTAGACAACTCAGTGTGCGGCCCCTCCTGGCAAAAACGAGATGGTCGTGTTAGCTCGATGATGGCTGGTGACAACAATGATCACAGTAGTTTGGGTCACAGTAGCTTTGCATGCGTGGTTTTGTTCCACCCTCACAGTGGGCTGGTGGGGATGGCACTGTGTCGACCTCCCTTGTACAGATGGGGAAGCCGAAGCACTGACCGGTTAAGTAATTGTCTCGGAGTCTCTCTGAGCGGTGGAGCTGGGGGCACCGGATGCCGAATGAAAACCCCCGACTTTGCACATTAGGGAATGCACATGTCTGCGTTGCTGCTTTTAGGGGAGGGGACTTACATCGAAATCGACAGAGTCATCTAGTTCTTGGGGTTCCGTTAGTTCTGAAAACTATTCTTGTTTCCACCCATTGGGAATTACCTAAATCAAGCAAAAGAATATTACTTTTGCCCTCAACGCTGCTCGGAAGATGTAGGGATTACGTGAATTTTGTAACGGGGGACCTGTAACCGACCCCCACCCCCAGGGTGTGGCGGAAATCAGAGTAGCCGTGCGCAAGTCCCGCCACTTCTCTTGCACAGCCCTGAGCTCAGCTGCTCAGGATTGCCGAGTGTGGAGCAAGCCTGCGACGTCCTGCAGAGGGGATTCCGGGTAGATGTCAGGGTTGGTAGCTGGGAGCAAAAAGGAGCCCTGCCCTGAGAACCATCTGGGAGTGTATTTCACTATAAAATGTTTTCCCGAAGCTTTGGCTTTAAGGGCTTACAAGCCTCGGTCATCGCTGGGGTAGGAGGCCCAGTAGAGGGAGGGCAGGTTCCAGTGCACGGAGAGGCCACTGGGCGCATCGATTGGAGGAGAGGAGAAGCACCAAGGTGAGGATGGACGAATCACAGTCCCGACAGGCAGCTTGGGGTCAGCGCTCTGGGCGTTACTGTGCGAGGACACATTAATCCTGCTCTGTGTAGGACGTTTTCAGGACCTCCCTTTGAGGACACGAGTCAATCCCTCACACCACCCTCTGGCATGGTGCAGGCGCACCATCCTAGATGAGTGTGGTGTGTCTGTCCAATGGGAAACGATCCCGGCCTCCCCTTCCATCCTGACTAAGCAGCCCCCACAGCCAGGCCTCAGTGTCACTGCTCAGTTCCCAGAAAGTGACTCACTCTCTGCGGGGTGTGCAGGCCTTAGCAGACTCAGGAGCTGCCTGCAAACCAGGAGCTTTTCAGAGTCTGACCCGCCACATTCCAGAAAATGAATTCACACCTGGCAGCCAATTTGGACAGAATGTTTTCATGCCTTAATTCATCTCTTTCAGGATTTTCTGCTTGATGAAAGCAGAACCTAGATTGCTTCCTTTGTTTATCCCAGCGTAGAAAATACCGGCCTAGGCAGATGTGGCATTAGTACAAATTCTTCTTTAAAAAAAAAGAGATTTTACTTATTTATTTTTTAGAGAGGGGAAGGGACGGAGAGAGGTAGAGAAACATCAGTGTGTGGTTGCCTCTGAGTGCCCCTCACTGGGGACCCGGCCCACAACCCAGGCATGTGCCCTGACTGGGAATCGAACTGGTGACCCCCCTGGTTCGCAGGCCGGCAGGCCGGTTCGCAGGCCGGCACTCAGTCCACTGAGCTACACCAGCCAGGGTGGATTAGTATAAATTCTTGGTCTGCATTTGGGACATAGATGCTGTGGGCTTCACTTACTCATTCCAATCTTTTATTTGTTAATTTATTAATTAACTCCTTCTAGTTGACTGTGTTCCAACAAGGATTTGAGACAACGGAAATGCCTGTTTGGCGTAGTGCAGCATCATCGGTTTTGATATGTTAAGGTGGTTGGCAGTATCACTACACATTTGCTTTTTTCCAGTCCCTGGAATCTCTTAAAACTACTCCCATAAAAAAATTCATGTAGATTTTCAAAATGTGGTCAAGTGACTATTTCCTTAAAAAAGCAACCCTTCAGAATGCTGGCACTGTAAGTGTGACCCTTGTGTCCCGTGCAGTGACATCACCCCCGTCAGCCTCCGGGGCCAGCCTCACTTCTGTCGGCAGTGTCACTGTCACTCTCAGTGAGGACGAGCCACAGAGCTGGAGACCAGACTGGCGCAGGCAGGAACCACGCATCTCATCCCGCGGTGCACCCGTGCCCACCCCCTGCCCAGCCACCTTACCTGGGGCGGCCGTGACAACCGCCACAGATCTCACCCTCACGGTTCTGGAGTCTGGACTGCCCGGGTCAGGGTATTCGCAGGTCTGGTTGCTCCCAAGGCCTCTCCTTGGCTGGCCGATGGGGCCTTCTCCCTGTGTCCTCACATGGTGTGTCCCTGCTGTCTCTGAGTGTCCCAGTCTTTCATAAGGACACCAGTTAGACTGGATGAAGGCCTACCCTCGTGGATGTGTTGTATCTCTTTAAAGACCCTACCTCTAAACAGAGTCTTGTTCCCAGCCACTGGGGGTTAGGACTTCAATATACAGATTCTGAGGGGTCACAACTCAGCCCATAACATGCCTTGTCTACTAGGTTAGATACAAACCAACAAATAAAAACTTGGTGTCCACAAGTTAGGACAGCCAGTAGCTACGAAGTGTGTGTGCATGTCAGCTTTCTGAAAGCAAGTATTATGGCTGAACAGCTCATCTTGTTTCTTTTTTTCCTCCTCAGTGTTGGAGTTTCTAGGTCAAAAGATGTGCCACCGTTCGGCCCACCGATTCCCAAAGGCGTCACTTTTCCAAAGTCAGCCGTATTTCGGGACTTCCTCTTAGCCAAAGTAATCAATGCAGAAAACGCAGCCCACAAATCGGAGAAGTTCCGAGCGATGGCCACGCGGACGCGGCAAGAGTACTTGAAAGACCTGGCGGAGAACTTTGTCACGACCGCCACCGTGGACACCTCTGTGAAGTTCAGCTTCATCACGCTGGGCGCCAAGAAGAAGGAGAAAGTCAAGCCGAGGAAGGACGCGCACCTGTTCAGCGTTGGGGCGATCATGTGGCACGTGGTGGCGCTGGACTTCGGCCAGTCTGCCAACATCGAGTGCCTGCTGGGGATCTCCAATGAGTTCATCATGCTGATAGAGAAGGACTCCAGGAACGTGGTCTTCAACTGTTCCTGCCGCGACGTCATCGGGTGGACCTCGGGACTCAGGAGCCTCAAGGTCTTCTACGAGAGAGGGGAGTGCATCCTCCTGTCTTCGGTGGACGACTGTGCCGACGACATACGGGAGGTCGTCCAGCGACTGGGAGTACGTACGGGTTTTGTATTCCTGCCGTCCCCAGGGCTGCAGTCCCCACACGTGTCAGCTTCCACGGCGGAAATCCCACCGTGATTGTGCCACCGAGGGAGGGCCTTACTCTTTCTTAGGGATCTGGAGCTTGATTTCCGGCACTGTGTTGTTGCAGAATACACGAGCGGTGGAGAAGCCCCCGTTACCGATTGATTGGCAGGGAGGAGGGAAGCCAGCCTTCAGGAGGGAGTACCAGGGTAGACTTTCACAGTACGTGGAGGGAAGACAGGAACGTTGTCTAGATAGTGTGTCCGCAGAGATGCCCACCCGTGTCATTACCTTCCCAGAGGGGACTCCGGGCACAGGGTTGCTGCTGACCTTACGAACTGGTATGTGCTTTTTGCGTCTGCCACGGTGTGCGTGTTTATGCAGTAGGTGTTGTCATGTAAACTGCCAGGTTAAATACATTACTAATCTTACAGCCCCCATTTCTTAAGGAGGTTTTATAGAATCACACACACACACAAATAAGTCACAAAATATTTTTTTAATGTTTTTGTTTAGTATAAAACCCCTAAATGTGATGCCCATGGGTTTAACAGTTGTATCTCTACTCCTAATTTTAACAAAGGAAGGTACAGATTTTAGTCTGACTATATGCAATAGAGTTATAAGAATAAATCAGATGTAACGTAAGAACAAAACATTTCTTGGCAAAAGGATTAGTTGTGTAAATCATCCCCCAAGGGATGTATATTTCATTAATTAGGAAAGATTCAGTCAATTGCAGATCAGGAAGAAGGAGAAATTGTACCCATTTCTTGCCCCTGTCTTCCCACCAAGTATGAATCACTCCTTTGTTATTCAAAATTGTACACAAGAGACAATACACTCAAGCCAGTGTCTGGTAGCCCTGAAGAAGTAATGTGGTAATTTGCAGACACTGTTTCCAGGAAAAGGCCTTGGTGCGTTCAGCGGTAGTGCCGGCTGTGTGCGTGCCAACCTCGCTGTGCCTTGGAGGTGATAGAGCACGTGATTACTTCATGTGCCTGGAGAGCTGAGCTGTCCCCTGGAGTCTCAGGACTCTCTGCACTTTTGGGACTCTTGCAAGTACTTCTCTTCAGGAGATCCACCATAATCTGTGCTCCCGAAAAGACAGCACAAACAGACGCCTCTTTGCCAGCCACCAACGCACGTCCCCGTAGGCTCTTACACAGCCACTGTGCTGTGTCCCCATCCTACCACTTTCCTAGAAAGTGGCCGTATCAGTAACGTGACTCAGGTGCCCGATGTCTGGGGTATATTCGAGGAGGTACATCCTGTGTCTGGGATGACTTGCAGCGGAAGACGTGGGGAGCAAATCCCCAGGGACCTGTGGGAGCGGCACCTGAGGTTGGTGCGGGGCAGCGGCACCAAAAACGGAAAGGAAGAGGACCTGGAGGTCCTCGTGGCGATGTTGGGAGCCACAGACATGAGCTCGGCGTGCGTTCTGCGTGGTGGGGAGTGCGGTGGGAGGGGTCTGCTCCTCAGGCAAAGGCAGGAGGGGAGCAAGAACTTAGCGCAGAGGGACAGGCAGGCCAGCTCCCTGGGTGCGTGGCCTGCACCACCCAGTGGTGCCAGCACTGAGACCGCTCTCACAAGGGCCCAGGCTTGGTTCCGGCCTCTCTCTTGCTGACTGGATAGTCCGAATAATGTTTGACTCTGGGACCCGGCACTGTGCCCCAGGCCACACAGGTCATGTAGCCAGCCCTGGGTGCATGGATAGGGGGCTGCTGTTTCCGTGTGATGACCGAGTCCTGGTATGGATGTGAAGAACTCCAGCAAAATGGACAATGGGATCCTTCAGCTTTTGTGAATGTTGAGAAGCAAGAAATAGCTGCAGACAGAGGTGGGGAGGTAGTGGGTGCTTGGAGGAAACCAGGAGAGAGACCGAGCAAAATGGGCGGGACTCCAGAGAAGCTTGCCCTGGAGTCTGATAGGTGGGTGTCGAATTTCCCTGGAGTCTCATAGGTGGGTGTCGAATTTCCCTGGGGTCTGATAGGTGGGTGTCAAATTTCCACTGGAAATTGTGTTAATATTGGAAAGGAGACGGGGCACATGTCTTATGTCATCTTCGGTAGGGGAGTTAGTTGAAACAAAGCTGAAAAAAAGAGCGATGGAAAATCTAGTCAGATTGTACCTTTTACAAAGGTGCTTTTTCACCAGTTCTCAATTAGGTCATAACTTTGGAAACTTCAGTCTTTCAAAATGTCACCAGTGACTGAAACCAGTGGTCCCTTCCCCCAGACTAACAGGTGTGTCTGTGAGGTGCTGATGGTGATGTGCGCCCCCAGGGTGGTCGCCATGGAAACCTCAGGCACAGGGTGGGACCCTGAACCCACCCCAGGCCCACAACTCTATCTACAGTCAAAGGTCTTTCAGGAGTCTGGGCACTCAGAGCAGGTTTCCTGGACATGGAGCCTTGTCTTAACTGAGACTTGCTACATTACCTCTGTGCCTCAGGGATATCAGTGTGATACCTCCCAACTTTATCTCCCACAGATAAGTGATGCCGTGCGCCAGTGGTATGTAGTGAGCTTGGGTTTCTTCCTGGGCATGGAGGCTGCTCTCTCTGGAAGCACTCTGAGGGCGGCCTGGACTGGCTCCTGCTGCTGCAGTGCATTGGATGGTGGGGGGGGTACAGGCCCCTTTCTTCCTTCGAGTCCCTTTCTGGGGCCCTGCTTCGTCCTGGGCTCCCGGGAAGTAAGAGCCCGGGAGCCTCTGCCGCTCAGGGTTGCCGTGGCCCCAAGAGATGGCCAGATGGCAGAGCACCACCCTGCACACCGGCCTGGTAGCGGGTGCCAGGGAGCCTGGCCGACTGGCCACAGTGGAGCTGAATTGTCCTCAGGCCAGCAAGAGCAGTCAGTCCCCAGGAGAGGGTCCGAGGGGCCGGCCAGGGTGTCCAAGGGCCGGTGCACGGCGAGCACTTGCGCTTCCCTGGCATTCTGACGTCCACTGCTGCCCATCCCTAACAGTCTCCTGTCCCCTCAGATCGTGACCAGAGGCTGCGAGACCGTGGAGATGACCCTGAGGAGGAACGGACTGGGCCAGCTCGGCTTCCACGTGAATTTCGAAGGCATCGTTGCCGACGTGGAACCTTTCGGCTTTGCCTGGAAGGCTGGCCTGCGCCAGGGGAGCCGCCTCGTGGAGATCTGCACGGTGGCTGTGGCCACGCTGACCCACGAGCAGATGATCGACATGCTGCGGACGTCCGTGACCGTGAAGGTGGTCATCGTCCAGCCCCATGAGGACGGCTCGCCCCGGAGGTAAGGCACGGCAGGGCCTGACTGCTCCCTCCTGCACATCCTCAGAAAATGCGGTCAAGGGCATCCTCCACCGAAGCTGCTGGGATTGCACCCATGGGGTCAACTCAGAAAGAGCTCTGAAAAGTTCTTAGTGTGTAATACGTGGGAAATTGTCATTTCCTAAGTAATTAAATGGGGCGTTGACCACACGAAAGCTGCAATATTGTACACTCAATTGCAGAGCAGCTGCTTGGGTCACCTGGACCAGTGAGACTGTGTCTGAGAGGGACTGTCTTCCCCGTAGCTCAGCCTGTAGCAGATTCAGTACTTTCCTGTGCATGGCAAGAATTCCTTCCGTAACGTGAAGTCATTGATTATTGACAGGGCATTTATGAGAACAAAACCTGAATGTCTGAAGCAATACCGGAACATGAGATCACTCACCGTGGTGACCACTGCATTCCAGCTGAACTGGGGTGGGACGTTCTGATAAGCCATCATGATAAGCACATGAAAGGAAGCGGCTGGACTTGGGAAGTTCAGAGGTGGGTGGGTGAGGGTAGACACAAGGATGGAATGAGAAAGTTGGTACTGTTCCATTGTTAGTACAAGAGGCTTGTGCTCAGCATCAAGAAAACGTTAGGCCAACCAGAGGAAGAAGGCTGACTAATTGGGAACAAGCCATCCCCCTGGCTGTGGCCTGCCCATGCGCTGCACTGCCTGCTGGTGTCTGGAGCACACTCTGTGTCCGTCCCAGAAGTTCCCGCAGGCACCTGCAGAGCACTGGCTGCGGGGAGAGAGCATGCTCAGAACGCCGGCTGCCTCTGTGTGGTCTTGGGTCGTTCATGTGCTCTCTTGGCCTCACGTAATAGCTGTGCGGTGGGATCACACTGTTGCCCACCTCCTACTGTCCTTAGAAGATTCAACAAGATGCAGATTAAATAACACCTTCTAACATCATAGGCACACATTTTAGTTAAAATCACTTTAAGGTAGCCCTGACCTGTGTGGCTCAGTGGGTTGGGCATCACCCCAAAGCAAAGGTCACTGGTTTGATTCCCAGTCAAGGCATGTGCCTGGGTTGTGGGTTCACGCGCTGGTTGGGGCGCCTGTGGGAGGCAGCCGATCAATGTTTCTCTCCCTCTCTTCTCTCTCTAAAGAAATAAATATAAAAATAAGTAAATAAAAATGACTTCAAGGTATTCATTTGAATTTTTTCATGCTGTAAGGGAAATGCTTACCATTCCAAGATAACGTGATACCATTTCTACTTTCTGAACTTCTTTCTGTGGTGACTGAGGACTTTCTTTCTGCACCCCCTGCCCTCTGCCTGTACAACCAGCGCTGCCCCCTAGCACTCTCCTCGACGGTATGTCCCTCCTCTGCACCGTCTGCAGCCGTGGCCACAAGACACACGTGATTGTCGCACCCTGGAAGTGTGGCTAGAGCAACCGAGGAGATGAATTTTCCATTTCTATTAATTACTTAAGATTTAACTACCCATGTTGGGGAGGAACGAACTTTCTTCTGCCCTCAAGGTCTTCTTCCTGGTCTAATGTTCAAACAGAATTCAGATCAGCAACAGGAAATAACGAACGTTAGCACGTACATACATACAGTGACCCCGAGTGCGTGAGGTTCAGAGAGACATGCGGGTTCTTGTCCACACTCTGCCCAGTGAGTCCGTTCGCTCCCCGAGAAGCACACAGAGTGGCTGGAGTACAGAGAAGTCAGAGACAAATGCTACTTGATTTAAAATGAGACTTGGAGATAATGCAAGGCAAACCCTTTAGACCTTTGAAGCTAAAATACAGTACGTGAAAGCCTTTTAAAATAAGTTTTAATCCAGTTACGAGAAGTTGTATCATCCAGTGAGATCCCTCAGTTCCCTTGGCAGCGTTGAAGGTTTGTGCATCTCAAGGTGAAGACGAAGCCCCTTTATCCGCCGTGGCGGCTGGTGACGGCCACAGACCCAGACAGAATGTCCCCACGCTCTCCCCTGGGGCTGGAGCATTCTCCTCCGACGAGAAAACAGTTTTAAAGCTTTCAAGGGATCTGGTTAATAAAAATGTTAGAGTTAACATTACGTTTGGTATTTAAAGCCTGCGATTTTAAAAAGTAGACTTTCCTAAGAAGTACTGAATATTTTTAGCTAGAACAAATAAACAAAAACTACCATTTAAAAGTTTGGGCTGTTATTTTTCTTACCCAAGGACATGTTTAACTGTCTTGGTCTGTGCATAATTCTTTCTTTGTGTCAAATGCAAATTCCCTTACTAAAGCTATTCTAGATATTTAGCGATTTTGCGTTTGTTTCCCAGGAGTCTCATGATGTTCTTCCCCGAAGACACAGGTTTTTCTCCTGGTTACACTGGAATAAGTGTGTTCTGTGCATTAACTTTAGCCAGGACTAGAATGAGCCGTTTGCCTGGTAGCGATCCTTCCCAATTGGCATGCCCACCCACGCACATTTCCGCAAGTCCTGAAGGTTTCTAGCCTAGCACGTATCATTTAAAAGTCTTTCAATCTAGTCTTCCAAAGTTGTACAAATTGGAATTCGTGAATTTTTAAATCCACGTTTCTGTTAGTCGGGGATCCATGCCGCCTGGGCCTGCCTGGGCCTGCCTGGGCGCCCCCTCCACCCTCATGAAGTCCTCGGGCAGCGTCCAACCAGCAGTTGCCCGGCCTACAGAGCTCTGCCCCGGGCCACCCTGCAGGTGCGCAGCGCCACTGTCAACTTCACCCTGGCGGCTCGGACAGCTCGGCCTTCTGCATGTCAGATTTTGTCAGAAGTTGTGGGGGTGGGGGTGGCTTAAAGGCGAAGTGGGTGCGTTTGACTGGTTTTTAAGTTAAATACAAATCTCTTCAATGAAACATTGTTTAGCACCGTCAGTCCTATAGGAAAAGATACAAACATAAGCCTCAAGCTGAAACTGCACCTTTGACTTGTAGTGTGGAAAACCAGCCCATCTCTATTCACAGATCGGCTCTTGGTGCTTGCAGGGAGGGGCGAGAAGAAAACATTTATGTAGACGTGTGTGTGATTTTTAAAAAGTTGCCTTTAATGTAAGAGCCAGGAGGCCTACCAAAGTGGCCCAGTTCATGAACTGCAGGATATTTCCTTCTTCATAAACATTGTGAATAATGGAATGCATCCCTGCGATTCATCCCTGCCATTTATCAGCTTGATGTCTGTCCAACAGGAGATCAGGGAGAGCTGATTGGCCTCAGAGCCCATCTGCTCCCGGGCAGTGGGCGGGGCCTGTCATTTCACAGACGCCCCCCTGGTTGTCTGCGGGTCAGGTGTTCGCTTCTGACTCAGAAGCTGCTGCTTTCAATGGAGTCTTTAGTTGGGGAGGTATTTGCATTGAATCAAACGCTACCCTGCAGTTTGAAGTCTTGTTCTCAAGCGTCAGGTTGATGATCACTCAAGCTGTCCCTCAGCTTGAAAGGAAGGCAGAGTCATTTTTCGATTTCCTTGTGGAGTTCCCCAGAACCCCAAGCCAGAAGGGTCCCCTTTGGGGATGCTTATTAAGTGATTTCGTGCTGCGGTTGGATCTGGAGTGAATTCACGTGGACTGGGGATGAGTGGCAGGAAGCGGTTTGGGAATAGTGCTCTTCCCGTGGAAGCGAGGTTTACAGGGAGGAGGGCATTTCCCCAGCAGACAGTGTCGGGCCGAGATGAAGAACAGTTGCCGTAGCCCCTTAATTAACCTTGGCTTTGGGAGGGCTGGTGTGGCCCAGCCCCCCCAGCCTTCAAAGGTAACTGACATTCTATCAGTGTCATCTTAAAGAAAGCAGAGCAACTTAAAAGGCTGATAAAAGGAAGTAACCACTCATCAGAATTATGTGTGAGTTGTTACGCACTGTGAGTGATTTAGTAAATATGCCCAATAAAAATGGAAATGAAATTCCTTGCTGGGTGCATCTGTTTTGTGTGGTTTTTCATACTCTGTTGACATGACATATTTTTCTGTGTAACGCAGAACGGTGGAAATTATCTCATGTTGCCACGAATGCAAATTGTGGTTCTCTCAACATTCTGTAACATCGAAGCTTTACCTTCTTGACTGCCGTTCTCTGCCTGTCGCCTGACCATTCACCTCTAAACAGGAGGACGTGGGACTTGGAAGAGGAAGGAGAAGTCACTTTTGTTAGATTAGCAGAGTGTGTGTGTGTGTGTGTGTAGATGGGGGTGTGGAAATCTGGGCTGAAGTGAGTTTTTAGATGAGAATTACAATTTATTCGTAAGGATGAAAAAATAGTTATGTCTGGTACTGCCTTATGGGCCCTGAGCAAAATACAGAACTTAGGTTCTCGAAGTAACTGAACCACACTCACTGTCCTGAGCTCCCACAGAATAACGTGCAGATGATTCTTTCACCCCCTGGAGGAAGAACGTTGGGTTAGAGAACGAACGTCAGGTGGGTTAGCTCCCATTCACTCATTCACTCACTGACTCCTTCAGTCATGCCCAGCGTGGGCCGGAAAGCGCACTGGCTGGCGGGGGAGCTGTCACCTGGGCAGGACGGGCCTTCTCTGTGCTCTCAGGGGCTCCTGTGCCTGCCCGGCATTCCAAAATGCGGTCTTTTCCATTTACAGTTCTGCTGTTTAAAAATAGTTTTCTTGGCCCTGGCTGGCGTAGCTCAGTGGATTGAGCACGGACTGGGAACCAAAGTGTCCCAGGTTCGATTCCCAGTCAGGGCACATGCCTGGGTTGCAGGCCACGGCCCCCAGCAACCGCACATTGATGTTTCTCTCTCTCTCTATCTCCCTCCCTTCCCTCTCTAAAAATAAATAAATAAAATCTTTAAAAAAAAATAGTTTTCTCAAAGCATAGCAACAGCTTCCTACGTGATACCGTGTCTCAGAAAGCACAGCAGCCGCTCCAGTGACTACTCTGCATTTTAGAGCCCGTGCCATTTGGAATGTGGTCATGTCACTGCCGCTGTGACAGGAACGCAAGGGTGACGGGAAAGCACGAGCTCTCTGTCACTTCGGGAAAGAGACCTGTGTCATGC